AATTCTGGGAGTTGAAGTCCACAAGTCTTAAAGTTGCCAAGGTTGGACACCCCTGCACTAGATCATCATTTGGCTTCATAACTGATCTGGAGAAACAGGACCTTTGAAGGATATTTGAAGGAATTTGCGGCTACATTTATGGGGTTCTGCCATATCAGAATGCTCAGGGTACAAAAGCCAAAACTGGCAAATGGAAATCAATTGCTCCATATGAAGCAAATGCACACGGATCTCATGTTTGCAGAAAGGATAGATGAGGGGCAGGGGGAGTTGGCTTGCAATTACGGGAGAATCTAGTATTTTTAGTACGGTACATGACTAGGAGGGCACTGTATTAATTTGAGCTGACTTGCCAACTGTGTCTTTTCTGAAGCAGATAGCTTCACTGCTTATCATTTGTAGACTATAGTAATGCAGTACATTAAAAGCAGTCTGTGAACTTTAACTAGGCCAAAATGTAGAAGTTAGATTTTTCTGAAAGCTGCAGATCAGGACGCATAATTTAAATTATAAACCAGATTCATTGGATCTTGCCCATGTCCGGTACAATGCTCATGGGCACCAATGAACAACTGCACAGCTTCCTTAAGTGCGCCAGACTGCCATTGCAGTTAACTTAATTTCACTTAATTTTAAACAAAATTAGAAGCTGGATGGCTGTAGCTCATCAGTCCTCTAAATCATCTTTATCTCAAAGAATGTCCCTGGATTTCAGATAGCCCCATATGCTTTTGATAAAGTCAGTAGCTACAGATAGAGTAGATAGAGTGGTACCACTTCGGTGGGCAATTTAATGAGGACATCTTTAGCAAATGTACTTAGTAATCATTCAGTTATGACAGTAATGAAAAAGTAATTTTATGACCAATCCGTGTAATTACGACTTGCAGATATGTAAAGCAAAGGAATACTGGAGTAAGATCATAAGATTAGTTTTACTTAACAACCTTCTCACTTAACAGCTAAATTGCTGGTCCCAACTGTGGTCGCTATATGAGAGCTATATTATTTTCATAGAAGATAAATCTTCAAACCTTACCTTTTCAAGATAGGCATCCATATTCTCATTCGTAATAGATGGATCAGTGACAAACTCAAAAAGCTCCCTCACAGTCATCACCGCAACGTTGTACTTATAAAAGAAATCTGCCAGAAAGGACAAAGATGACATTAAAGTTGTTAATGCCTACAATAACTTTAATGGCTCCAACTCAAACTTTGTGCCACAAGATTTAGAAGTTCATTTATGTGGCAGGAGCTTTGAATGGCACTACAGAAAGCTTTCTTGGATAATCCATCCAAGCACCCCTTTTCCAAGCACATCAGAATTATGATCTTAGTTGTAACCATCAGGATTATTTTTAAGATTGAAATATCCAGTTATAATGCAGTTTAAATATGATCAACTGTATTTAATACCTAAATCTTACGAAGACTATTATCTCCTCCTTACCGTTAATATTGGCACAGTCTTTTCTCAGGAATTCCAAAGCATGGGGATGATCGTGCTCCACAGACTGGGACACATCGATAATATATACTTGACCACTGTGATACCTAGAAAAAGGGAAAACATCACTACCACGATATTTATTTCCAAATATCTTATATCTATTATGGCATTTTCAGAAAACATCAGTGTTTGGCAGACATCTGGATGTATGAATGCCACAAGAGTTTTAACTGCTGTAATGAAGCTATCATTCGAATTAAATAATGCCAATCTAGCAAGTCAGTTCGAAAGAAGAGGTTAAGACATTTAAATTTAGTAGCTGGAGCAGTGGGGTTGTGCAGTAAGCCACAACACAGAGTTGTGGTTGATAGGTTGGAGTGTGCTGGCTCCTGTGTGAGGAAATCTGCACTGTGATTAGTTGTGGTGGGTATAGAGGGGGAATTTTCTGTTTTCCTGCCTTTTTCTTCTGTGTACCTTGTGTGCTCTATGGTTTACCTCATCTTACTCCTGTTTGCCTGACTATCTTTGTCTGCTGTAAATATTAACGTAAAATGTATTTATTTATGTAAAACTACAGGTATTCCTCGACTTATGACCCCAACTGAGCCCAAAATTTATGTTGCCAAGTGAGAAATTTGTGAAGTGAGTTTTGCCCCATTTTATGATCTTTCTTGCCATGGTTGTTAAAGTGAATCACTGCAGCCATTAAATTGGTAACACAGTTGATCAGTGAACCTGGCTTCCCCATTGACTTTGCTTGTCAGAAGGTTGCAAAAGGGACGCCGCAACTGTCATAAATATGAGTTCACTGCCAAGCATCTGAATTTTGATCACATGATCATGGGGATGCAACAAAGGTTGTCAGTGTGAAAAATGGTGATAAGTCCCTTTTTTCAGTGCAACAGTTACTAAATGAACTGTTCTAAGTCGAGGACTACCTATACAAGTTTGTGTCAGTGTTTGCAACTTCATTTGGACACTTGCCGCCGCTGTGCAATTCTGACAAAAAAGGTAGACAGACAGGAGGCAAATAAGTTTGACAAACATGCATAGTTTCAACTCGTATTTCCCTGTCACTCTGTTCTGCCATTCTGTTCTCCATGCAAAAGAAAGGCTAGAAGGTCGATAATGAAGGAACAATATCCAGTATGTGATCTTGAAACTCAAGGCTAGCTAGATTTGGAGTGACTTCCCAATTTTTCCTGAAAGTTAAAACCTTTAAACTGGGATCTTTGTAAAGTGAGATGGTGTGCAATTCTGGCTAAAATGACTGTGGGCTTGGGCTGGATAGCTAACAAAAGCGTCTTCATTTCTGTAACATTCAGTGATCAACTGTTCTTCACCCCTGCAACGCAAGAATTAATTCTGCGCAGTCCTGTCAGGGCAGAGGAAAATATGCCATTTTATCTCAGGTCAGAATGCATCCAGAGAATTCACCACTCAGCAGCAGATGGCTTAAATTACACTTGGGAATCCAGCAAGTGTTCCAGAGAGTAGCCCTAACAGGCCCCCAGAGAGATACCGACTGGAGGATATGCTTTCTGCTCAACAATACCTATCTTAAGGGGACGATTGCAACCCCTGCATAGTCATTACACAAATAAGCCTCAAGTCCCAATGTTAAAGTTGAAAAACAAAAATAAGACATACAGCATATTAAATTCACTGAGATCTGCATGAACAAGCTTGGCATCCTGGTACATTCTTCTCATGTACTGTATGACTTGCAGGTATAACTCTCGAGCTTTTGACTCTGATAACTGGGCATTTTTCAACAAAGGAGCGGGCCTTGGAGCAAAGGAGAAAAGAAACAAAGAATACAATGTTTATATATCTCTTCAACTGTCCCTTTCCTTAAATATTGAAATCACATAAGGCCAAAATAAACTCACACATAAACTCCCACATGAATCACAAGAGGAAAAACAAACCATTTAGGAGGAAAAGTGGAAAACTCTCTTATTTTTCCCAATTTTCGCATCCTTACATTTAAACCTGGCACAAGGTATCTTGCCTTCTGATCAAACCTCACAAATATCACAATTACAAGTACATGTACTTACAAGTACCTCACTGAGTTTATGCACAGTGAAGTCTCAATTTAACAGTTACCCTCTTAGTGGACTTCAGGTGCAACAGATAAAATAGATACCTGAGACATTTATTTATCTTACGTCCAAAGTAATCCAGACATGCACTTAAAAACCTGCTTATATCACCATCGTCTTTTAAAGACCCCATAATCCCTTGCAAGGTGGAGTTTGGGCAACTGAATGGAGCTGGCCGGATGCCCTTCCTGTCACCAATGCAGAGGTTTGTTCCAGCAGATATATTCTCAGTGTACCCACAAAGAGAAATATCTGCCTCTACCTAGGAGTGAACTCACAGCCTGATTGTGAGGCGGGAGCTCCACCTCTGGGCTACCGCACCACTCAAAAAAACTACAGCTTATATGGCATACTTTAATTCATGTATGTGAATTAAATTCATGTAATTCACGTATTATTTTACAGCGTACAACAAAATGAAGAAAGCAATTTATTAAATAGACATCAAGGATGAACTTCCCCCTCCTCCAAAGAACCTGTTAAACTGATCTGTCAATTAGTATTTAAATTTAAAAGTAAACGTCAGCACTATTTAATTTAGTATCTTAATTTAAACATAAGCATCAGCACTATTTAATTGAGCGTTAGGTAGCCTAAAAGACAAATTAAAGATGCTCAGCTGCCAGGGTCAATCTAGTTTCCAGGACAAATATACACTTCAGCAACTGGGTATCCTTGATTTGTTTTCTTCGGCTTCAGGAACAGAACAATTAACCTGTTGTAGAAAGGGTTGCGATTTTCCTGCAGAGAACAATGCTTAATTTGGGGTGCTCAAATTAAATCCAGCTTCCAGCTTTAAATCCATGTACTGTTGCCCAAATAATAACAATCAGCTTCAAGCTTTCCATGACATGGATAGCATTACAACAATAATCTTCCAGTTGAGTGAAAAAGTTTTCAAACTCAAAATATCCACTTTCAAATTTGAAAAAATTATTTCAAGCAAAAAGCAGTTCTTTCCCATTAGAAATTTAATAATTTCAGAAGTGCTTCAGGCTGACTGAACCTGTTAAATTTGAAGCAGAATGTTTTCGATTTGAGACAATCCAGAGTCAAAACATTTTGTACATTGCTACTACGTTTATAATAACTTCAAAATGGGATTACTCTTAATATACCCTGATTCCCAATTTCAGAGCAGTTTGGAGACTGCAGCTAGCCAGCCCTGAATGCTGCAACTAGCTTACTCATTTCAGTCTGTTTCTGCAAAATTGATTACATATGCTACGGAAAGTTTTGCACTATCCACCAGTTTAGCCACACAGACTGTACTGTATTGATCAGCCATCTAACTAGTTTTGCTAGAATTGAGAAATGTACTAGAGGAATAATTTTTCTAAAGCTTTAGATTCTACAAACTTTTGCCAGTGTCCCCAAATTGCAGCAATTTTAAGATATGTGGACTTCAACTCTCCAAATTCCTTTGGCTAGCATGCTGGGAATTGAAATCCACACATTTTAAAGTTGTGGAGGTTGAAGAAACATTGATCAATGCACTGGAAGACACTAATAAATTAGGACTTGAATTTCCTATATAGCCCTTTCCCATGTTATACTTCTTAAACAACTCCTATAGAAGTATGTAAGAATGTGTTTACTATTCTGTGTGACTCAGTCAGTGTACAGTATATTATGTATATTATGTATTATGGTTTGCATAATTTATTTTAATTAAATTAAAATAAATTTATTTTAATTAAATTAAAATAAATCCTGGCTTAGCTAAAAATTTGAACCCTGCCACAAAACACTTGATTATACTTACATATCATTTTTGCCAATAAAGCCCATCACAAGAACATGACTTCTTAACATAATGGGTTCTGGACATGGGATCTGTGCTGTATATAACCTACCAAGCAAGAAACCAAAAAGACAAAACTGCTGTTATTTGATATATTTGATATCACCTATTTAAAAAAGTCCTATGTATAGAAAAAGGCTTCAGAAATTCAGACTAAACCGAAAAATACCCATTGTTAAGGCTGTAGAGATTCTCAGTCATCCAGGTCATGGTTGTGGAAAAAAAGCACCTTTGGGATACCCATCATTAACTTTTACTCAATTCCTAAGAAGGGCCTAATGTACTAGATTTGAGTTTTTGGATTTCGTGGCCAAATATCCACCACTTGCCATTTAGTGAGAAAGTGCATCTATTAAGATTTTGTTCGTCAAAATAATATTTAGTCAAATAATTTAGTCAAATAATATTCCTTCATAATTATTTAGTCAAGAAATACTGCACATAAAGCAAGAAAATATATAAAGAAAGCCTCACAAGCTGTCCCAATCTTGTTGACACCTTTCATTTTCATTCTCATGTCGAGGCCAAATGTTAAGTATTGCATGAAAATTGTTAACAAATAATTATTTTCTCCCCAAAGTCTTTGATAGAAGTACCTGTTTCCATTTCAGTGTATAAATTATTTTTAAAATCTCAGATGGCGATATGTGCTTCAATTTAAAAACAGAAACAATCCTTTTGTTTCAAGGGTTAACATGAACTGACTGAGCACAAATATTCTGTGAAAGAAACTGACAAATTTATACTTGGAACACAGATACTTACTCCAAATTAAGGCCCTCTACGATCTCCACTGGAGAACTAAACTGAAAAATACCCATTGTTAAGGCTGTAGGGATTCTCAGTCATCCAGGTCATAGTTGTGGAAAAAAAGCACCTTTGGGATACCCATCATTAACTTTTACTCAATTCCTAAGAAGGGCCTAATGTACTAGATTTGAGTTTTTGGATTTCATGGCCAAATATCCACCACTTGCCATTTAGTGAGAAAGTGCATCTATTAAGATTTTGTTCGTGTTTGTTTGTCAATTGTATGCCCCTTTTAGGCTTAGATTTTTAAAAAGGAGGAGATATTCTTCTTCCTTTCCTCTACTCTTTGAGACCACTTGGCTGTTGAAGACCAGCAGCTCTCCTTACTCTGGGAAAGAGAGATGACTGAAAAATGATTTGTCAACTATCAGTTTCTGAAGACGAGCAACACACGAATGTGATCACTCAAAATGTATATTTTCTTGTTTTCACTGCAGTATTTCTGCTTCTGAATGTGGATCATTTGTACGTTAGAAAAGAAAAACAAAAGTCATGGCTTTCTTTTCTTTTTTTTTAAATGTTCCAAACCTGGAAGCACAGATATTTAAATTCTTTTGCTTTTAAAAGAATTTGTTCTGGAGTTGAGCAGGAATCCTAGAATAAGGCACTCCAATGTTGGTTCTGTGTGAGTGGTCGAAAGGATTGCATCTCCTGAAGATTTTGCTTCTTAAAAACTTGCAATGCGGTTAAACTTCCAGAAGATTAAAATCATTCCCTAATCCTGTACAAAAATGAAAGTCAAGATGAAAATGGAAGAATGTCAATTCTCACCTGGTTAAATTCCTCATTTCTTTTTCTGCCCATGTCCTGACCATCTTTCTTGGGTTTCCTTTACAGTATCCATGACGAAACCTTGGAATGGCAAGAGGGAGATTGAATGTTTATTGAAAAAAAAGAGAAGTGAATTCCAGAAGCAAGTATGCAATACAGACTCACCTGAATTCTCCACTCACATATTTATCCCGATCTTTAAACATCAAAATAGAAGTTTTATATATCTTTATTGCTCTATTCTCGCCTTTTGCAGTGCTAGCGTGGTACACGTTAGCCTGGAAAAAATGCAAAGAAATGTAACAAAAATGTACCAATATTTGAATTTATATATATTATTGGAGAAGTCAATCAGTAGTTTTACAATTACTTTGTTTTAATTAATTGCTACATGGCACAGAGTTTAATACATAATAGTGTTTATTTTGGATCACTGGCTGGGTTCACATTGTGGTATATCTGAGTTTAAATGAACCCAGCCACTACAGTTTATTAAATATAATTATTAGGTTTAGTATTAATTTTGAGATCTACTGTGTATGGTACTCTGGCTGCAAAAACAGGATGACTGTCAAGAGCCAAATGCATGACCCATGAATCCAGTAACTTTCAAGGCTAAATCTATAGATCACAAGGGTACAAACCACACACTGTTAATATTTTAAGTTCCCTAAATTCCTTTCCAAACAGGTGAACAATGAAAAGAATGAAAAAAAAGTTGCCCACACTTGCATCATATTGCATACAAATATAACACCTGAAACAAATACTTCTTTATCATGCATGGTCCATGTGTGGAGGGAAAAATGGCTCTCTGTATTTGTATAAGCCTATTTCCACACGTACAAAAATTTGTTTCGATTGTGTCCTCGATTTGGTGCAGAAATGCTTGAATGAAAAGAGGCACTTAATGGCGGCTGCAAATGGTAATTCTGCAAATTACGTCGTTGTGTTCCACATTGGTCTTCTCAAGCGTTATTTCAATATGTATTGTTTTTGAAAGCTACAGCCTGCCTGGATAGCCCTCAAGTCTTTTGATGTCTAACCTGACATCAAAAGCAGTATTTTTGATTTTTAAAAAGTCTAGAATACACCATCAGATTACATTAAGCTCTGAGTTATGAGGATTCAAGCCAGGACTCAGCTCGTGAAACTATAGTTAAGTGTTAAAAGAATTATAGCAAAATGTGCTTGCTGCCTGCTCCTCTACAGTCACTACTGGAAGTGGTTTAGAACAGGGGTCTCCAACCTTGGCAACTTTAAGTTTGGAGGATTTCAACTCCCAGAATTCCACAGCCAACTTAGAATGTGTTTAATTAATCACAGGAAAAGTATGGAGGTAGAAACTTTGCTCTCCTTTGTAAACCAGACAGGAAACATGGTCAGGTAAGCTAATTCTACTTTATTATACTGCTACAATTCTTTATTATAATTTTGTACATTGTAATATTAACAGACACTTTCAAGTGTGAACGTATTCCGTCCCCTTTACAGCCTCAGAAACTAGGGTCTCTTCTTAGCCTTTTGATTCACTCACATTTCTGCTATAGGATAAGTTGCCTTTTTTCCTGATTGTTCCCCTGGCTGTGTCTTCCAAGGACATTCCTACATAGCATTACACCTGACAATTGAAAGTGAAGCTCGGTGCGTTCAAGTCCAAACCTTATGGCATCTTAGCTTTTCAAAGCCAAACCTTAGGTATCTATAAATCCTTGCCAGTCCCGATGCAGAAGAATGGAACCTCTTTGTTCCAAAATGACTTTTCAGAAAAATTATAGAAAGCATTTAATACAAATCACAAGACTTTTAAAAATGCATTGCAAGATTACATTTGGCAAACTATAGGTTCAGCCAACCTCTTTTCCAGTGCTGACACAACCGTTGATCTCAGATATCACACCTCTGCTAAGCATCTTGAAGAGAATCATTCGTGTTCTTGGGTCCAGGACCTTAGAAAGACAAAACACCATCAAATCCATGATTTACAAAGATGTGGATAAATCCCTTTCAAGTTTAAAATCTAAGGAAGGCCCATTTGTCAAAAGCCAAGATTTTTCTCCTGCAAAGTTTATACCAATTCTTTTTTTCCAGCTTGTTTTCTTTTGCAAATTTTTAGCCTGAAATGCTTTGAAGTTTAAATAACATTTTTCTAAAATGTAGGAGCAAAACTTAGCTACATCATAAGCCTTTATAGAATGGGGCCAGCGCTGCTGGATTCATGAAGCACGTGGAGTAATATTAACTTTATGAATGAATATGTGTTTCTATCCATTATTATCTGATTAAGAGATTACAGATCAATGCAGGCAGTCCTCACTTAATGACCACTCATTCAATGACCATTCAAGCTTACAATGACCCTGAAAGGGTAGTACTGTACTTATGAACTGTTCTCATAGTTGTGGTTGTTGCAATGATCCTGCAGTAACATGATCACAATCTGCAACCTTCACTGTTCAGCTATCAAGAAGCAAAGTCAATGGGGAAGCTGACAGGAGGCTACAAAGGGCAACCATATGATGTCTTTGCTTAAAGATCTGTGGTGATTCTCTTATGACATCATATACGACAACAGGAAGTGCCATAACTGCCATCACTAAGCAACACAATCATGCGGTATTGTGCTTTAAGATCACACCACTTAGTGACTATAATTCCAGTCCCAAATGAATGAGGGCCACTTGTACAAACAAACGCACATGTACATTTGTTGATCTTAAAACTACAGTACATTATTTCAACTGAAGCAATTCTTTAAAGAAGCCAATTAACCATGGTTTATATTACTGGAAGTCTACAATTCTCTGACCTTTAATAGAGCATCTGAAATCTTACTGATTTTATTTTTCTCTGAAGGCAGAGTGATACGATCATGAAACTGGAAAATAAAACTTCCTTTCTAAGAAAGCTTCTATTATTATTATTCGACCCAAATAATAATTAACTTGGACAGAATATAGTCCAAAAGCATCGATCAGTGTGAACTAGAAACAAACACCTCTCCACCTATATTTTGCTCTCCCAACATCAGACCAGTAGTGCAGTAAAAGTTTCTAAGCATTCTCAGATAGGATTTTGAAATCACCTGATGAAATGGAGAAAACACGTCTAGATAAAGCATAACTGTATAATGTAAAAGAGGATTTCACACTGACAGTATAATGTTATGCGCTGCTATTAAAGAATGTAGCTGGCTGAATTCTTCCTTTTAAAGGATAAATACTCTGAATTCTGATAATACCCTTTTTGACAACTGATAATTCACATCACTTACTTGTTCTACTGTTGCCCTGTCTGATTTATCTTTTACCCGGTACCTAGCAGAAACGAAACAGAGTATGATCCATTGTACCAGAACAAAATACAAATATCTCAACATATCTTAATATAAGATATATCTTAAGCAATATGCCAGCAATAATTAAAATATTCCAGGCAGAAAAAAACAAGACGAAAATACAAAACATTCTCCATGAATTAAAACCAGGGATCTTCGTAATGCAACTCACACAGACTTCAGTCAAGCAACATTAGGGTGGTTTTTAGGAATATAAAAAAGTATCATCATTAGATAAGAACATGCCAAAACAAAATTGGAAATAACTTAATTTACCAAACCAATCTTAACCTCACTTTTTAGGAATGAATGCCTAGGCCTAAATGAGCAAACAAAAGAGTCTTAGGAAGAGGCATCTGCAGCACTGTGATGTTAATTTTGTAGACCTCTTAGAATGTAATATATCAAAACATAATGTATTAACATATTAATCGTACTACAAGCCCCTGCAAATCAAATAACAGCTATATATTCTCTACAATATTTATTTCTACACATCCATATGTATTACTTACATATCTGCTTCTCTTTGCCTAGACTTCTCTGTGACTTTATTTATAACAGAATCAGCAAAACGCAGCTTGTCTGGAAAACACACACACAGACACATCCCACTCTTTAAAAACAGTTTCAACACTGCTGTCCAAAAATAACGTACATAATTTCCTTGTGAACATACCTCTAGAAAACAAGCGATACATTTACAACATTTAAAGTAAGCACTCTTTTCCATTCATATATATGTCTGTCAATATTTCCCCCCCTTACATTTCTGAAGCCACTCAATTTATCAATGTCTCTGGGAAATGTGCACAATTAAAAACCACAAAATATAAAAGAACGGGGGGAGGGGGGGGGAGAGAGAGAAAGAGAGAGACAGATAGACAGACAGACACAGAGGCAGGGAGTCATCCTGAGGGAATGGATATAACACCAGCTTAGAGGAAATCCTCATCCTACTTTGGCCCAAAGCTGAGGGAAAGTCAGGTCTTCAAAACTTATTTAACAGAGAACAGAATTGGGGGGCTCTGGGTGCGGGGGCTGTGGAAGGTTGAATTGCCCCAATGAATTTGATGATGCAGTGGTACCAAAGATTTTTTTTTGGACCCAAATCAAGCTTAATGTCATATAGATATTAAGAAGCTTGGTGGCTTAATAAAACATCTGTTTTCTAGCTGTAAACCTTTACAGCTAGGTTAGAGACCCAGCAAAAGCAAGCAGGGCCTGAAAGAGGGATCTGTTTAGTGAGTTGACTGGTGGAGTGGTTTCTGAGAATAGACTACATGACAGTGAGGACAGTTTGACTATGTCGGTGGAATCCAGGAAATCCAGGCGTGGTTTGTTTTTCACCTACAACCTGCAAATCACCATGTTTTCCTATCCCTTCTTCCTCTTTAGGGAAAGATTCGGCTAACAGATAAAGAATAGAAGCTGAGACACATTGTAGACTGGCCTATCCTGAAAGGCAGCAGTGCAGGATGACCCTCACCATTTCATAAACTTATCTTGTTATAGTTGTTCGTAAAATACGATTTGAATTGTGGAACAAGAGACTATAGGTCTATTTTTGATGAGCCAAAACTTTATTCTATCACAGAAACAAACAAACAAAAATTCAAGTTTTTGTTTATCTTCCAGAGGCATTTTAACAGATTTCCAGGACAGATTAACCCATTAATCCATTGAATTTCATCTTTTAAAAACTATCACCTAATTCAGCCTCTCTGGAATTCTAAACGGTCCACTTACCTAAATTGATTTTATTCTCAAACTTTCTTAATGCTTTGCCTGTAGGTGTAGACATTTTGGCTGCATTGCTGCTGGGAGTTTGTTTATTTGCCTGGAAAAAAAAAAGTTACATAACTAAAATTCCATTTAAAAACCATTCTAAAGGCGCACTTTTGTAGACTCTTAATCTGAGAAACGATTTTTAAAAAAGACAATTGCATGATTATGTCCCCAGCGCTACCCCTATTATGTGCAAATTCCCCAGGCCTGCAAACACTAGTTAGCATGTATAGTCAAGTGCTGTTATAACCTTATCCATGAATAAGTTTGAAGGGTGAATCTCACTAGAAAAAGAGGGGATGCAGAATCCTGTGGCTCATTTTAAATGCATCAGTTACGATTAAGGCCACAGGAGCAAAGGCATATATACCAGCTAGCCTTAGAAACACATTTCATCAAATGCAGGAAGAATAGTAAGACGTGTAAATTGACTTTTGGGAGGCTAAAGACAGTGAGAGTTTTGCACCGAGTTTCATGCTGAGCCACAGAATAATGAAAAAAGTGAAAAAGAACCCAAAGATTTTGACAGATGCACCTCCTTTCCCTTTTTTAGTTCTTGTGTGGCCAGAAAAAAAAATAGTTCAGAATTCCACTTTAATTAGTTGGTGGCTTAGCAATGCATGGACATCAAAGAACTGGGGTTTAAAATAAAATACAGGCACATACACTAAACCACCAACATTCCTAGATTGCTTAGCTGGCTAGAGTTTATTTTAAACTACAACTTGATTTGCACATAATAAGCTGAATTAGCTAAAATGAACAGAATTCTGGTTTACTCTTCCTTTATGCAAGTAGCATTAAACTATGGCTCACCATCACACATTAAGACAGTAATTAACCTTACATATTATTAGTTGCAAAAACTCCTGAAACTATCAGCTAGTCTCTCTACAAGATGCTAGGACATATTTTGTTATTCAAAACAAAACAGAATACTTAAGCCTTCAGGCTGGGACTACTTTCCTATAAAATAATTTTAAAGGTTCAAATTAAAATGCCCACAAGTGTAGCTTACAGCCGAACACACTGTCACATAAAGACTAAATCCACACATCATGGTAACCCAGGACAGTGGCCTGGTTTTATAGTCATGTTATACTACAATTTGCTACTAGGCCAAAACAAGCTATACCCACAATCATATAATTCAACAGTCTACAGGAATCAGGACAAATATATCTAAAAGAAACAAACAAAAACCCACACACCTGTGGGTTTCTTCCTCCAGCCATTGGATTCCGTTTTGTCAGCTTTCCCATATCGTCATCCCAATCCCATCCATCTTCCTCATCCTCAGAGCTCTCATCAGATTCATCCACATCAGCTTCCTCATTCAGATGGGAATCTTGCATTTTAACCACCACCTTCTCCTCCTGAGATGCTGGAACAACCTGCAAAGGTTCGCTATTTTTTAAAAAGAAGAATATTTAGTAAACTCTTAATAGGCTGACTCTATAGTGGTTTCAAAACAATGCAAACAGGATACATTGGGCACACCGCTATAGTGAGCATAGCTACTGTGTTTCCCCGAAAATTAGACCCTGTCTTATATTTCTTTTGCTACCAGAAAGGCACCAGGTCTTATTTTCAGGGGGGTGGGGAGGAAGTATTTCACTGACTCATCTCAGTTGCATCGCCCCAGGCCTCTCTTTCGCTGTCAGAGGCCTTCAGGAACTTCTGCAGCTGGCAAGGCTATCCTGAAGGCTTCTGCAGCCAATAACAGAGCTCCAGATCGATCCAGAGCCCTGTTATCGGCTACAGAGGACTTCAGTAAAGCCTTGCCAATTGCAGAAGAAATGGGCCAGCAAGATGTCAGGGTGGGCGAGGCAACTGTCCGAAGGTACCACAGCAGAGCAGCTCCACTCCGTCCTTCCATCCCCACCCTAGAGGACACCAAGTGATGGGTCTGAAGGTGCATGGATGTATCAGGCCAACAGTGTGACAGAACTCTGCAGACTTGCTAGACCGTAGCTCCCACTTCCTCACCTTTAACTTGGCTAAAGCTGATGGGAGTTGGGAAAGGATGAACTCTGCAATTCTATGGTACGTAATAATATAAATAGCATTATTTTTCATTTAATTTGCTAGAGCCACCCATATTTTAGTGGCAACTTTTATAAATATCCAAGACTTTCAGGAACTATGTGCCAACCTAGATTTTAAGTTGTGCACTATTGAGCTATAAGAATCTGCTGGAGGTAGTCATTTCAAGATTTGGAACAACAGATCATTTGTATGTTATAATATCCATCCCTCACTTACTTTCCTTCCATTCCACTGTATCAGGTGAGTACATGGACTGGATTAATATTTGGATGACAGTCAATAACCTAAGATTGAATTCTGACAAAATGGAGGCACTGCTGATCGATACTCTTAAGATTTAATGACACCCTCTTTACATAATTCCTTAGCTTTGATGGTATATCACATACAAATTCAGTTCAGTTGACCATTAAACACATTCCCTTCATGTAGGTTTCTGGGTTCCTCTAATGGAAAAGGAGTTTTTATTCTTTGTTTTCCAGTTCACTCCATTTATATGTTCCATTCGATATATAGCTTTAAAGCGTTCCATTTATATAGTTTACCTCATGTATAGCTCAAATCTATAACAGATGGATTTATAACAAGTGTGGATTTCAATTCCTGAATATTGCAGGCTGGGAATTTGGACTTGATGTCCACATCTGTTACAAGGGCTAAATTGAGAAACACTGATTTAGGGGACTTTATTTGTGTACACATTGTCTCTGATTGGTTATGAAAAACAGAACATCTTTAATAAAGAGCAGAGTAATAATTATGACTGCATGAATGTAACTTTGTTGCTTGTATCCTTATTTTTTATTGACCATTTACTAGTATAATTTGATTTGATCGCTTATTATTGTTTCCTAATATGATATGATTGCTTATTTGTACCCTTTGACTACTATTGTTATACCTATGATTCTTGATGAATATTTTTTTTTTATCTTTTTATGAGCACTGAGTGCATTGGCACCAAAACAAATTCTTTGTGTGTCTAATCACACTTGGCCAATAAAGAATTCTATTCTATTCTATTCACTTCCTCACATAAAGGACAAAGGAGGCAAATAGTATGAACACCAAGATGACAAATGCAAACATGTTCAATGTTTCAATTATAATACTGCTTTTTATTTAAAGCCATTGTAATAACTCTTTGCAAGCATGGCAAATCAAGTAATTATTTTCTTAGATGCACACAAAAAACTGGGACCAGTTTCTAATAATAAAGGACCAGAATAATGAATAGAAGGTGAGCAAGATTTATCTCGCAAAGCTTAGTTGCTTTGTATAACCCGAAAAACATCTAAACCGCTCATTTCTGCATTACCTGTCTGAAGTGTCAGCATCATCAAATTGTCCTGGGACTATCAAACTCATAATTTCTTCTCTGAAATTCATTACTGTTGTTACAGGATCTCTGATGCCCTCCTGTGCTGTACTCCCAGTCTTCTATAAAGTATTTGTATATATGGATGCTAAAAGAGAAGCATATTGTATGTTACAATATATATGGTATACTTGATTATACAACATTGCAAGTGACGCCTTACGTAGCAGATCCTAATTCTGCATGTTCTGAATTACGTGTAACCATAACACAATATCTGTGGATAATCTGCAGAATGTAATTCGCTATATAAACTGTCTATTATACATGAAGATTGATACATATGTATTATAAATTGCAATAAAGAGGATTATATATTAGCAAAATTCAGGCACTTATGCAGCCACATAAAATCACTTACCCTGGCTACGTTTAGACTTTGATGTGGCTTCACCCTTCAAGGGGAAAAAATATCCCAATACTAAACTCCACCCTCCCTTGCTGGCAGCCTTTGTGGTCAGGAACCTCTACTCTGGAAGCCATTCCCAAAGAAAGCATAGCAGAGATTGGTGAACAGGATATGATAATCAAGGAACTCAAGACTTCCAGTTTTTCAGTGTCCATTGTATTTGGGTGAGATAATAGCAGTAATAGTAATCTGTTGCCAAGCAAGATGATCACGTTTTCCCTTTACATTTCAGCAACTTAATTCCAACATTGGAAATATTTATTCTTCCTTCATCTTTTCTTCAGGAAGAATAAGCGTTTCTGTCTCGATGCTGGAATATACTGAAATCACACTAAAGCGAGCATAAGAATTATTTTTAAGTAAATCTGCAGCAATATAAACCATCCTTTCAAAACAATTAATTTCTTTTTCTCTGGCTTACAATACTCCATTTCCTTTCCAAAGCTATTCATACTTCATTCATAGTTCCAGCTGATCAGCTCGCACCCATTTCAACAAAGTTCAGTTTTTGTCTCTGCTCCCAATACTCAGCACAGGTCTTCAGAAAAGTGACATTAAAAGACAGTCTTGTCTTTTAATACAAGCCAATACTTTTAATCCCCAGCAGTGTAGAACAGAGACTTGTATCATAAAACCTATGTGCTATTCATATTGTTTGCACCTGGATTCCAATAAAATGCATTTCACAGCACATGTGTGTGCAAGTGTTAACCAGCATATAGTATTTGGAAGTTGAGGTTCTCTGCCCTAGTGATTATACAGGACATTGCTGTTGTGACATGTAATTAGCCAGACTTCTTAGCCTCGCAGCAAAAAATAAATAAAAAAATAAAAATGGATGGTCCTATCTCTCACTGGTGTGGATAACTTCAGCATCTATCGTTCTTGGAAGGAAAGCTTTCAGGGGATCCCAGGGCTGAGACTAAATTGGGGGGAAAAACCCACCATTTTGGAAAGTAGTAAATCACTTCCACCAATAAGACTTGTCACCAAGAGACGAGTTTGATCAACAGAGTATTATGTTTATTCTGCTTTTCAAGACCGAGGGGCGGGGTGGGGAAGCTTTCCAGGAGAGTTAAAAAAATAAATTAAACTAGAAAGTAGCATTCATATCCAGTGAATGGAAAACCCCAATAGCGACCCAAAATAACTTTGCTGTCCAACAGATCACAGTCATTTACAAAATGCAACCATTCTCTAATACAGGGGTCTCCAACCATGGCAACGTTAAAGCCTGGAGGACTTCAACTCCCAGAATTCCCCAGCCAGCTTTGGCGAATTCTGGGAGTTGAAGTCCTCCAGGCTTAAAGTTGCCATGGTTGGAGATCCCTGCTCTAAGGCTCACTGCTGGACTTCCTGCGCTCTTCACACAGCCAATGATGCAACTTGCCCAATATTTTAATCCAGCGCATTTTACTCACCAGCCTCGGGACCGGTTCGGCCGGAAAGATTCCGACCCACGAGGTCGGAACCAACACGCCTTTCGGGTTCGAAGCGTCACAAGCTGCGAACTACGGTTCCTCCAAAGGCTCATGCGCAGTCGTTTGCGAACGCATTTCCCCGAACTTCAGCTGAGGCATTGTGCCGGATGCTTTCGTTGAATTTGCGGACGACAAATCCACTATTTTTGCCGAGAGCTTGGAAAGACGCTTCCATCATCCTGGATTGCTCAAAATTCGAGAGCTTCTCCCAAATGTAGATTGAAAATATCCGAAGAAGCGCGAAATGGACTAAAGGGTTATTTCTCGCCATCTCCTGGTCATCGGGGGCTTTGCAGTCCGACGTAATTCGGATGAAGAATGTAGGTGTCTGTTATTAAATTATTATTATGATACTTCAATAAAATAAAATAAAAACGGGAAAACATTTTAACGGAACTTCGAGTGCTTTAATTTTTATATACTCAACGGAACAAGCATACATATCTACACACACACACACACATACTATATTTATA